TCAATCCTTTGGTAGATTTTGATTTCTTTGAAACCGATCCACTGCAGGAGTAAATGCTGTGAGGAATAATTTTTTGAAGCAGGCGTACGTTTATCCTCACCCTCCCAAACCTGGATAAAGAAATTCTCCTGACCGGTTCATACGCAGTAGGAGTAAAAGCTAAGCTTTCTAGGGTGTGGATTGGTCTCCTGCCTGATCTCCCCTCGAATTCTATGGAAAAGCGTTTAAGGAATCCTTTGCAATCATCAAGAACCCCATACATGTGATTCTGGGACTGCTTCGCCAGATATATTCAGACCGTACTCAGGACTTCCCAACCAGACCTATTTCCGTTCTTCTGTTTCATTTTTCCCGTGTTCGTACAAAAGGGCAACTCTCAGTTAGCTGATAACTTACCATCTTTCTCGTCACTAAACGATGGAAATCATCTGATCCAGACAGTCGCCGCACCAGATCTCTTACAGCATCTCTCTCTGCCGCAATCAGTAGAACAAGTGATTCTTGAAAAACTTCGCTGTCGTTTCTCAAAAACCACCAACATGAGTTCTTCTTCCACAGGTATACTGATGAACAGCAAGTCACGCATTGGATATTCCGCCAGAAGAACGAACCGCTCCTGTTCTTCTTTGATATCTTCAAGGTTTTCGCTCAGGTTAGGAATGATAAGCTCCTGTCGAGAAGTGTTAATTTGGGACTTTCCCATCTTTTATCACTTAGTTGCATAGTTTGTGACCGTTGAGTCTCGGTTCATGTGGATGGGGCATTTCAAGGACGATTTCAATGAATTCCAACGTCTCCCTTTGTTAGCCCGTTGACAAATCAAGACACTTTGTAGGCTCAAAATCGCTTCATAGTCCCAAGGTATGAGCTGGTATTATGCGCAACAAAATTGTCAGGCATTTTCAATGGAAACCTAAAAGGTAAGAACAATTTTGCTTATTACATTGTTTGAGGCGCCTCACAGCTGCAAATGTTACAAGATAATATGATACCTGTCATTCGGTGTATACAAAATGAAGGTGGTACCACATTTTGATTCCAACATGACGGTGCACTGCCACACAATGCTCTGATTGTGAAATGTTTCCTCGATTCGGAATTTAACTGCACATTGGTTGGCCGAGGGGGACCAAGATGATGGCCTCCAAGAGCACCTAATCTATCTACCCTGGATTTCTTTCTGTGGGAATATCTAAACCAAACCGTTTATTCTCTAAAACCGAGAACGATCGAGGAGCTAAACCAGTGTACAGTGGCGCAGTGCGAAAGTATTCGAACTGTCACTATTCTGAAAGTGGAAGAAAACTATTTTCTCCGTATTTTGCAATGGAAGCAGGATGGAAAACACCTTGTACAACTTTTATAAAATAAATTTGCATTTTCCATTATGTTTGTTCTCTCCTCCGGAATTCTATCTCCGACATAGTTAGCAAGATCGTTTAACGCGAATAGAGCTAGTCGGGAAAATACCAAGGAGAGTTGTACGTGGGCCTATATTAGTGGATATTGCAGTCCGTATTTATGACAAATTCAAAAGTTTATTATGATAATCCAAAGACGATTCAAGCGTTGGCCCGGTGCCATCGTCGCCTAAATCTTTTCCATTCCTCCTCCTATGCCGGCCCGAAAATCACACGATCCATAGTGTGCATTTACCGATCGGTCGGATTGTTCAGCTGCAACAAGGGACGTGATGCTTACCCAGCTAAACTGAGCCAGAGGTGACCACGGGGATGGATTATAGGTGACAACAAGAGAGTCACAAACATCACGAACAGGTGACCAGACAGTCTCGTGTCTGGTTGAGGGATTCCAAGTGGTGCAAATCGCGGTTTATGATCCAATCAGATCGCAAAATATACAGAATGAGAAGACAGAGTATGTAACTGAGGATTTCCTTAACAGTGTCCCAGAGGACTCATAACCGCTGGATTAAAGACGCTGAGGGAACTAGTAACTAACTGATAGTGGTTGCATATTGGTTGTAAGTTCCGACAACTTAAATGTGTGTATGCAAAGTCGGGCTGTTTATTTTGTGTTCCTATGTAGCCTTTTGATAGACAACCCTCAGAACAGCACCAAAGTCATCTGCATCACTTAATAGTGGCATGTCCACGTTTTGAGCTCGAAAACAGTCACTAAAAGTTAATTCTTTGAATTCACAGATTCAATAATGATGATGAGTTGAATGATCTTGATAATAATGAGAAGAATAATACCAATTACTGGTTTGATGAAGATAATGGTGATCAGAAATATCATGAATTGGTCAAAGATCAGAAGACAATTGATAATAATGATAACGATGACTATAATGCGAACGATGATAACAAAGAAACTGAGGGCAGTTGATAACCACAGTTCCAATAATGATGCTGTTGATGGTGAGTCACATGATGATAACGAAAATGACTAGAATTATCCAAACGAAGATTGGATCATGATTATGATTTTCAGGATTAAAAGTATCTTGTTATGACTACCGTTAATGTGGCGAAGTTATTATT